ATTACTTTTTGAAACCATTATTTCAATAGCATAATAACATTTTGTTTATCAAAATTAGCTGTGTCTTTCCAAGATTACATTGTCCAAGTGAATTATTGCCTTTTAACCTATACTTTCATCATAACAAACTCCAAGATTATATTAGTAGATTTCAAATACCAAATACCTGATATTACAGTGTCTATTTTAATTGCCATCTTCAGTTATTTCTGATCCAGCTTCCTAAATATAAATTAATCAAAATTATCATTATATAAAACCAACTATGCATATATATGGGTATTTGCTATAAAAATAACCCTCTGACACATTGATTTATATAGTATCTGTGGGTATTCTTATAGCAAAAATTCCATATACATATTTTTCTTCTAATAATATATAAAGCTTACATGCGAATTATGAGTAACACTTGATTATTTTAAGTAAAAAGTCAACCTTTTTTTTTTGTTTCTTCATTAAACTCGGAGCCATTATTCAAATGATTAAAAAGTAGATCGATAGGAACTGACTTTTTTTTTTCTTTTATCTTTAATGGTTTATTTTGAAATGCTTGAACAAGAATCGTTAGGTCAGATAATGTGAATGCCTTCTCGAATACACTTTTAGCACCATTATCTCGAGCCCAAATCTTAAGCTGACCAAGTGCTAACTCAAGATTTTCTAGTAGCATCTCTTTCTTAAATGTAACAAGTTTCATTTTTGGTTAATCATCTTTTTTTGCATTATTTTTTAAATCTACACCCATTGTCTTGACATTCTCTCGTAAACAAGATGAACCTTTTTCTGGAATATATTCCTTAAATCGTCGCCAGGACCATTGCCTGCTTTGCATGTAAATTTTAATCAAACGCACCAATAGATAGTCTTTAGCTTCTTGTGATAATTGAATACTGTTATGTATGAATTCTGGAAATAATTTTTTATTTTTATATTCAGCATTACGATAAAATTTGTATGCTATTTGCAAAAGGTCATTAAACTGCTTCTTTAAAGGTTGATTGCTTACAAGATTATTATTGATGTAAATTAGAATATCTGGCCCATACTCTATATGTTTTTCAAACAGCTAAAAAATGAACGACTCTAAATAATACATAAATTGAATAAAATCAGCTCATGGAATAACTCTTGTCGTCTTTAAACGAGTATCATATATGTATTCTACTTGCTCAGAGCTAAGAACATTTAAACATGATTTGATTTTTGCAAATTCTTCATATGCTAATGTTAATCTATCACTTTTTGTTAATTTGTAGATAGTCCATCCGATAATATACTGAAATTTTGATGCCTCGGCAGGTTCTAGGTCAATAATTTTTCTAGGTATAATCTATGAATCAGTATGATTCATAAAAAGTTGAACATAATACTGTCTGCTGTGTACTTGTCTAAATGTGATTCTTATAATTTTTTCAAGTAATATATAGGCTATCAATCGTTGGGTTTCTACTTTAATATCATCCGAGGCCAACAGTTGAAAGTTGTTAAACCAATCACCCGCATACTTGTAATTATTTAATCAACTTTTCAGATTTGTTGACCATGTTGTAAGCCAATAGATATTTTTTTTTTGTGGAACTGAATTTAATGCCATTTGACAAATATTTTTAGACCAAGTTACCAAAAGATTCTCTATGCCATCCTTATATAACAACTATTCAATTAATCGTACTCTTTCAAGCTGCAAGCAATTAATAGTTTTATTTTCTATTCTAATACTTTCATTATTTGAAGATAGTGGCAGCTGCATTCATCCCATTACCAGATCATCATTAAGAAGTTCTTGAAATATTTGGTAGCTGAAAGTAGAGAGCATTTCAATTTGGATTTTATGGCGATTATATGCTTCTAAATTCTGCTTGTTAGGTTTTACAGTTGTTCGATAATCTCTAGAAAAAAAAAAGTTATTTTAAAACTTATTGATAAATTTGCATAAACAAAAATTACCTTTGTTTTAAATCAGCAAGCACACAGCCCAAACCATCAGCTAAACCATAATTCAAGCTTTGTATTTCTGATATTATTTGCATTGTAATTGTTAACTTGTTTATTATATATTCATAGGATTGAGCCGTATGTGTGGAAGAGTCACCAGCCATTTCTCTAATTGATAAACCTTCAAGCATATCCTGAGATAGTCTTCTTGGTTGAATTATAGCACTTGGCCAATTAGTAAGTACATATTCTACGATTCCAAGAAATCTATTTATTGATAAAATCAAATTAAACTAGCATTGCGCAAAAAACCATTGACTTGAATCTTTCTTTTGTTTATCACCTTGAATGAACCATTGTTTTATTTCCTTCAAGGTATTCAAACGTGGATCTTTAAGAGAAGAAATACATATTCGACTATGTGTAATATCTTGATACATACATGCGTAGTGAATAAA